AAGAAGAAGAAGATTTGAAGTGCCTGCTTTGGCAAGCACAGCGACCAGGATTCAATCCCTGTCCCCTGTCCCCAGGGCACACTGAGCCAGAGATTTAGTCTGGATATGGTGGCACACAACTGTAATCCCAGTGCTGGGGAGGCTGAAAACAGAAGGATCACTACAAGTCTGAGCTGCATAGTAAGACCCTGTACCAAATACATAAATGAAAAAAAAGTAATAAAAAAGAAAAATTGATTTTATATAGAATCTGACTGGGAAAGGCATTTGCTCATTCTTGTCATTTTGACACATTTTCTTGAATGACCTACTTAGAAGGATTCTTTAAAAATATAGCCATGCACAGGGGACAGGCCTATGATCCCAGCTGCATGGGTGGCTGAAGCAGGAGGATCACAAACTCCAAGCCAGCATAGGGAATCTAGTGAGACTATGTCTAAAAATAAAATAGACTAGGGCCAGGGAAATGGCTCAGTGGTACCTACCTGGCAAGAGCAAGGGACCAAGTTCTATTTCCAGTATCAAAAAATAAATAAATAAATAAAAATAAAATGAACCAGAGGTGTAGCTCACTTATAGAGCACTTGCAAGTATATGCAAGACCTTTTGTGATACCCTCAGTATCACAAAAACCAATCAAATCAAACAAACAAATAAAAAAAGCAAAGCAGTTTTTGTTCCATGAATTTAAAATTGATTCTATTTTCTGAGTAAGGAATTTGGAGGTTTAGGGTCCATTAGTTGTTTTCCCCCTTATATCATTTTTTGAAAAGTTTCAAATATGTAGGAGAGTTGGAAAACAACTCATACAGAGGACACTCTATATGCTGATAAGATCATTAAGTTTGCTGTGTTTACGGTTTGCTTTATCACATATTTCATTTATCCATCAAACCATTTTACTTGATACATCTCTCAGGAAGTTTCAGACAACAGTAGATTTCACTTCTATATACCTCATTACTGTTCAGTATTTTTATAGTTGTTTTCTGTAAGAAAATGTATTAAAAAAAGAAAATGTTGCATACAATGAAAAACATATCTCTTACAGGTACACGATTCAGTTGGTTTTGACAAAAGCCCTCTATTTCTAACACCAGTTCCTAGCAATATGGAACACTTGCATTGTCCCAGAAAGCTTGCCCTTCTGTTCTAAAAGTTACCCTTCCTGGATCCTGCAGACTAATTAATTATCTGTTATTAATATTCTGAGGTAAAAACAGACATAGAGATGCATTTATTAAGCAGATTGAAATCCTTCTGGTTAAGAGAGGTGATTAGTATAGAATCAGAGCTCAGACTAAAACCACAGCTGTGGTTGTATTTTTTGTTTTTTGGGTTTTGTTTTGTTTTGTTTTGTTTTGCAGAACCAGGGATTGAACTCAGGTCCTTGAGCTTGCCAGGCAAGCACTTATCCTACTGAGCTATCTCTCCAGCCCCAGCTGTGGTTGTAAGAGCAAAAATGCCCCCAATTACTTTTTCTGAGTTTGTATAGTCCTTGATCTCCAAATATATCAAAGAATATTTTCAGTTAGATCATTGGCTGTAGATTTTTTTCTGCAGTGTTTAAGATTTGAAAGCTCAGAAGTTATTTTAGAGATAAGATGGCATAGTGGTACACAGCCGTAATCCCAGCACTCTGAGAATCTGGTGCAGGAGGATCTCAAATTTGAGCCCAGCCTGACTTAAAACTATCTTACAACTTAGTGATTTAATGAGAGATCTCTCCCAAAATAAAAAGAACCAGGGATATAGTTCAGTTCAAAGACCACAGGTTTGGCCCCCAGTATCATTAAAAAACAGAAAAAGATAGGGCTGGTGAGATAGTTGAGTAGAAAAAGTGCCTGACGAGGCAAGCACAAGGCCCTGAGTTCAATCACCAGTACTGGGAAAAAAAAAATAAAGACTATAGATTTTGTAGAATAGACAGGAGGCATAGACAGCAGATAGAATCCTGCAGGATGACCTGTGATCCTCTTCCACTTATATCTGTGCCTACATTCTCATGCTCATTTCTACCCTTGTTCCCTAACAAGCCCACCTATTTGGGCTTTCCTGATTCTCTGGACTTTCAGTATACTCTGGATCTGCAGTCTTCACTATCACCTCCTGTACTAGTCCTTCCTGCATTTTGAACTTCTCCATAGGCTACAGGACTAATTTTTTTTTTCAATTTTATTTATTTATTTGTGTGTGTGTGTGTGTGTGTGTGTGTGTGTGTGTGTGTGGCCAGCTCATCCCACCAGGGGGCAGGGCTGGCTGGCATATGGTGGTGGGGGATTGAACTGTGGACCCTGTGCTTTGCTAAGCTTGTTCTGAGTAGGTGCTTTAGACCACTGAGCCATCTCACCAGCCTACAGGACTAATTTTAAAACATAGTCATGCGTAATGTATGCTTCTTTCATTTCTTCATTGCTGCTGTAGCAATTTGTTGTATTTCTTTCAGACCAGAAGACAAGACCAGAAGCTAAATCATCAAGGCTGCAGCACTACACATCTCACATATCACATAGCACAGATGGATTCTCACATGTCACTTTAGAAGATGCCTGGGATGTTAATAGCCAGCTAGAGAGACACCAGGAAAATTGGAGAAGATATATGGGGCCAGAAGTGTCTATACAGAAGAAAATAACCACCCCAGAGGAAAATTTTGAGCGAAATAAATTTGGTGAAAACTCTAGATTGAACATAGACTTGATTCCACAACTGAACATTCCTTCAAGAATAAGGCCTGGTGAATGTGGAACACTTGGAAACAATCTGGGACATAATTCAGATTTACTTAATCAGAATAATAACCTTGCAAAAAAGAAGCCCTATAAATGTAATAAATGTAGAAAAGCTTTTATTCATAGATCATCACTTACTAAACATGAGAAAACTCATAAAGGAGAAGACAGTTTCCCCAATGGTACAGGTCAGGGAGTTTATCCTGGCAAGAAACACCATGAATGTACTGACTGTGGGAAAACTTTCCTCTGGAAGACACAGCTTACTGAGCATCAGAGGATTCACACTGGAGAAAAACCCTTTGAGTGCAATGTGTGTGGAAAAGCCTTCAGACATAGTTCATCCTTAGGTCAGCATGAGAATGCTCATACAGGAGAGAAACCCTATCAGTGCAGTCTCTGTGGGAAAGCCTTCCAACGCAGCTCCTCCCTTGTCCAACACCAGAGAATTCATACTGGAGAGAAGCCTTATCGATGTAATCTCTGTGGGAGGTCCTTTAGGCATGGCACATCCCTTACTCAACATGAGGTCACTCATAGTGGAGAGAAGCCTTTCCAGTGTAAGGAATGTGGAAAAGCTTTTAGTCGATGTTCTTCCCTTGTCCAACATGAGAGGACTCATACTGGAGAGAAACCTTTTGAATGTAGCATATGTGGAAGGGCTTTTGGTCAGAGCCCATCCCTTTATAAACATATGAGGATTCATAAAAGAGGCAAACCTTACCAAAGCATTAACTACAGCATAGATTTTAAGCACAACTCTTCTCTTACTCAAGATGAAAGTATGTTATCTGAAGTGAAATCCTACCATTGTAATGACTGTGGGGAGGACTTCAGTCACATTTCAGACTTCACTGACCATCAGAGGATCCATACTGGAGAGAACCCCTATGATTGTGAGCAGGCCTTTAATCAATCTATTTCTCATCCTGGAGAAAAGCCTTACCAATGTAATGTATGTGGAAAGGCTTTCAAAAGGAGTACGAGTTTCATAGAGCATCACAGAATTCATACAGGAGAGAAGCCCTATGAATGTAATGAATGTGGCGAGGCCTTCAGTCGACGTTCATCACTTACCCAGCATGAGAGAACCCACACTGGAGAGAAACCGTATGAATGTATTGACTGTGGAAAAGCTTTCAGTCAGAGTTCATCCCTTATTCAGCATGAAAGAACTCACACTGGAGAGAAACCCTATGAATGTAATGAGTGTGGGCGTGCATTCCGAAAGAAAACCAACCTACATGATCATCAAAGAATTCATACTGGAGAAAAACCTTATTCTTGTAAAGAATGTGGGAAGAATTTCAGTCGAAGCTCAGCTCTTACTAAACACCAGAGAATTCATACAAGAAATAAACTACAGGAACCCTAAAATTAAGCAGTGTGTAGAAAGCTTGAAAGCTAAAATACTGTTCAAGTTCAGTATCAGGATTCTTATTGGACAGAAAGTCTGAGAATGTAATTATGTGTGTTTGTATGTTGTGTGTAGAGAAAATTGTGCCAGTAAACAAATATTTAAATAAGGTAAAAGCCACATTCTCATATCTAATTATAGGGGTTTTTTTTAAACAATATATATATAGCCATTTGGAAATGATAAGCCTATAAATTGGATTTTACAAAGCTTCCAAATATAGGTATGCAGGACATCACCAACTTCCCATAACTTGATGTGTAGTCCTCACTGTTTACAGCCTTTTAAATATAATTTTCTTTTTTTAAAAAAAAATATTTTCTGCGGTAAAGACCAAACTGCATTTTAAACATGGCTTGACAATTACATTGAACTTCAGTTTTTTACAAATTTTCCATAGAAACCAATTCCACCTCCAGGAATTAGTCAAATAATTAGATCAATTGGCCCAACCACTTTATTATACCAAGAAAACTAAAAACCAAAGATAAGAAGTGGTTTGCACAGTATGGTATAGCCTATAATGGCAGAGTTGGATGGAGAAACGGTTTTCTGGATAATTGGCCCAATAGTTTTGCTACCTGAAAGGTATCTTGGAGGAAAGAGGTCTTAAATTTTAATATTAAGGTCAGATGCATAGACATTTAATTTAATAAGCACTATGGGTTGGACATGTTAGAATTCCTAGAAGCTTAAGAGCCACAAAATATATACAAATTTGTCAAAAACTTATTCAAGGACATTTATTGGAAACTTGTAAATCAAAATGTTAATAGAAACTAGATAATTGATCTGATGACTTTTCCTTTTGCAGTTACAATTTAGGGTTAGGTCAGTTTTGTAGAACTATGTAGGGTTTTTTTTTTAAAATTGTGCTTTAATGGCACCATCATGCAAAAATACTGCCCACCCTTCCTATGACATCAATAGGAAAAGAACAGAAAACTAAGGAAATTGTTTCCTGAAACAGTTTTGTTGTAGAGAAGTATAAATTCGATTACCTATTGCCATAAGTTCTGTCTTTGACTCAGATTGGAGAAACAGCATGTTTAGGTTTGTATTATGTGCAAAGGAAATATGTCCATTAGAACTTGTTTTACCTCCATGGTTCTTTTCCATCAGTAAGTTATGAATTAAGTTTCATTGGCCCTCTTCACTTCTTAGTGTCCCATAGTGCCTCACATCAGCTATCCTAAAGGAATTTTCAGAAACTTTGTTGGTTCATTAATATTAACAATATAGACAAATTTGGAAACAATGGTAGATATTGATCCATTGTCAAAAGAGCCATTACCCACACTTTTCCCAGCCTATCAGGGGTGATATGAGTGATGTTGATGGTCAGTCTTTCCTACTGACTTCTTTGCATGACATGGTGGTATCCATTGCCCTTCTCTTATCCTGAATGGCATGAGGTAGTTCTCAAGTATTCTTCATTTGGGGGGAACAGATAAATATGCATGGGTGCTGAAATGTGATATGTATAGCCTAATAAGTCTTAAACCTGTGAAACAAGATGGATGGCCTATCCCATAGCAGAGCTGTCCTTTCAAAATGTTAGCCATTTAAAAAAAACAAGCCTTGTTGATGACACTCCATGCTTAGTACGCACATCACAGCCATGTTTGTGTGATCTAATACATCACTTGACTACAGATAATTCCAGTCAGGTCCTCCCCTACTAAGTGGCTAGCGTACCTGTCAGGAACTTGTTGCTGACTGGAGAATCCTCATAGTAGAGTACTTGAAGAGTATCATATGAATTGTAGCCAGTTGAGTACTGACCTGCAATATTATTGAAATTTATCTAAACTTGGTTCCATAAAACCCAAAATGGACTCTTGGTCTATGTGTGTGGAACCTGACCTAATCATCACTTAGAATCTTAGCACACTTTCATTGACAGGGATGGAGCCAGGACAAATGTGTGGCTTATTGAGCAGAGAGTTTCCTGGTGCCAGCAGTCACACACTGTGGAAGGCGGCCTTTTAGTGCTACATGAAATGTACCCTTGTAACAGCACTGTATTCTTTCAATAAATGTTCTATGAGTTAAATAGGAGTCAGTTTGTCTTGAATTTTCAGATTTTGGCTAAGATTAAAGGATGGCACACCAGACAGGTTAGATTAATTGATAAATTCTTCACAACCAGGTAAGTTAATAGTTGCCATTTCTTTATTCCTTGTGTGAATGACATTGGTCTAAGTGTTTTGCTTCCATCATTTAGTTTTTGTGACTCCTAGTTAGAAGTTCCATGGTAGCTCTTGCTTTTTGGCAGTGTTTTTTCCTTTCTCATGTAAAAATCTCTGGTCTACTGACCACAGGAGCAGAAATCAGAGTGTTCCCAGGGCTCCGGCATGTTTGTAAGGATAGTTATGTGATCTGGTTCAGCCAGAGTCCTTTGCAAGAACTTTTTCAAAGTACAACTATCAGGGAAAATTGGGTGGGGGGGGGGGAGTTGCTAATCTGGAAAGGTGGAGGCGTAGACCTTCTTAGAGTCAGATTTATTGCCAGAAATGGGGTGGGGCCTATTGTAATTGGAGAGAATGAGCGTTCTGGTTTCTATTCCCCGGGGTTCCTCAGGTCTGGCTTAATTTCTGCTGTTCTCTGGGATTCCGTGAATTTTCTACTATCTATTTTCCTTAAGCTAATTTTTAAAATTTCTCTTGCTTTTATTAAATAAACCTAATACATGTGTTACATCCTTGTGAGGGAAATTAAATAGCTTGCCTATAGTCTTAGTACCCTTGGCAGATTCAGGTGTTCAATCTGGGATTGCTGGTTCCAAAGCCATTGCTCTTAACCTCTGTCATCTCCAGACTCATATTAGGTTTGAGGGACTGCATAAAAGTGTCATTTGGGGATAAATGGATAAAGCCATATAATGGCAGGTTAGGTTGGAAGCTCAGCAAAGAGAAAATTCAGTAAATTTAATTTCACCCATACTTTCCCATCTTGATAAATTAGTTATTTACACTTGCCTAAACATTAAACTCTTTTTTTAAACAGTAAACTCTTGTAGTATACTTAAATACTTAAAGAGTATGTATCATAAATGTGCTTTTTTTTTTGTACAGGGTCTTACACAGATTGGACTCATAGTAATTCTCCTGTTTTCAGCCTCCCAACCACTGGGATTACAGGCATGCACCACCACACCTACTATCAGTCACTATCTCAGTTCTTCCCGGGGGTGAGGCTGGCATGGCACACTGGGGATTGAACCCCAGTCACTGCATCTGCCAAAGCAGGTGCTTTAATCCACTGAGCTATCTGACCAGCCCTAACTGCTACAAATTCTTGAGCTCTGTAAGTCCTTTACTTGGGTAGGTTTGGGTACTAATTTTAATAATGTGATATTTGCTGTATGATTCATGATAAGAGCCTGAGCATGAAGTTCAGAAAAAAACGAAGAGGATGTTTACCTGGCCGCAAGCTGTCCAGAGAGAATGATCCCATTTGTTTTCTCAGAACTGTCTTAAGAGACTGGAGGAGGAAATCTTGTATACTTTAAAGTTTTAGGATAACTGTAATATGTGACTGATTAGGATCTCATGATTTGGAGGGCTTTTTGTATATTGTCCTTTGTCAGTGATTGGTACTTTCTAAGCTTCTCGATAAATACGCTGTTCATGCTCAGTTTGAGGCTCAGACAGACAAGACTTCTGAGACCCCTGTGGCCGATTTCATCCAGCCTTGCTGTCATTTTTCTCATGGCTCCAATCATCTGCAATGAATATTGAATACATTTATCTTTTTAAGCACTCCCCTTTTGGTCCAGGGAGATAATTAAGTAGAATAAGGGCTTGCCTGGCAAGTGCAGGGTCCTGAGTTCAATCCCTGCTAACACACACACACACACACACACACACACACACACACACAAAGGAATAAGCACTCCTCTTAGTTCTATTATTTTTTTTCTTAAAATATCAGAATGAGATAAAGTATTGAAAATTGTTTTACAGAATTAGCATGTATTGAGTAGTATAACCAGGTAGTATGAGACTGATACAACAATAACAGTAAGCTTGGTGGCGTGTGCCTGTAATTCCAGCTACTTTAGAGGAGGAGGCAGAAGGATTGCAAGTTCAAGGCTACCCTAGGTAACTCAGCAAAACTCTGAATCAAAATAAAGATAATGGATGTAACTCAGTGACAAACTGCTTACCAAGCATTTACAGATCCCTGGTATGACCTCTTAAAAAAAATAAATAAAACTTGATGGAATGGTCTAGTTATCCAATGCAGGATTGACATCCAAAATTGCAAAAGGGAGCTAGGATAGAACCAATGTCATCCTGTGTGTTTAGGGAAGGGTACAGGGCAAGCACCATATCCGCCAGAGTAGCTAGCATACTGCAGTGCTAGGTATTCTTCCCTTTTGATACTTGGATGGTGGTGTTGGGTTTCTCAGAGTTTCAGTGGGCTTCTAAAAAGGTAGCTAAATCCTACTCACCTATTATGTGCAAATACCACTTCAAATTTTTTTTCCTGCCATACTTCAACTAAATTGGCATCCTTTTAAGTTTTCATAAATAACTTTTTAAAAAATAAATAACTGTTGATGTCTTTTTTTTCTTATCACAATTTATGATTATTTGAGTTTCTTTTTTCCCATACCAAATTTTAATTTCCTCGGGGCCAGGGAGATGGCTCAGTGGAATAAGCGCTTCCCTGGCAAGCGCAAGGGTCTGAATTCATTTCCCGGTTCCGCAAAAAAAAAAAAAAAAAAAAATCCACCAAATTTTAATTTCCAGGAAGACAGGGCCTATGACAGTTTTGCTAACTCTTCTTATACCCCTGCTCATCACAGTGCCAGGCTCACAGTAGGTACTTAAGCAGGTCGCTAGTGTAGTTTCATTAAGTGACCAATTAAGTGAGGATTGACAAGTTCTAGCTTAAATAAAAAGGCATTTAAACTTAAAATGAAAATGTTGCAAAATAAAACTATGTGATACCAAGTCACATCAGGCTGGCAAAAATTTAGGAATCTTGGAAGGAGAACAGAATTTTACACACTGTTGATAAAAGGATAAGTTGATTCAGTCATTTTGGGGAATAATTTGTCATTGCCAAGTAAAATCAAAATAAGCATACCTCATAACCCAGCAATTCTACTTGTTGGTACATTACCCTACTCTAGAAATTCTCCAGAGGAGCACAACATAAAAACAGTAAAAATGTGGGCATAACAGAAGTATTGGTGAGTATGAATTCATAAATTGTGGCACATTCTTATATTTCTGTGCAATTTTTTAAATGAACTAAAGAATATGGGGTGGGAGGGAATTAGCCCCTT